TTTTAGCAAATATGACATTTTTTCCCCGACCAGCCCCTTTAATGTTTCAATAGTAACTGTACATGTGCATTGAGACTTTTCAGTTTTGGTAGTTAGGACTTTAATTACTATTGAAACATTAAACAAAGAAATTTTAATTAAAGAGTTTATTATCCTTTCATTTGTTAAAATTTGTACATAATTTTAATATGGTATCATAAGACACCTACACGGAAATAATAAATCTATTAATACATCACATTCCCAAACAGACATTTTAAATGTAGTTTAAAAATAAATTTATTTATTTTAGAATCATTGTTACACAAGTTCCATCGCCTTATATTCATCACACTTGTTGTTGTAGGTAAGAAAGGATTCTTACCCGGAGGGGGTGGGTGGGGCAGAGAAGGATCGTTCCATGATGAGGTTATGTTGAGGGGTTACAGACTTGAGGTTTGAGGACACGGTAGGATCTGCGAAGTGACAGTCAGTGTTCCCCTGGACTACGGCCCTCTGGGCTCGCGCTCTCTTCTCCTGGAATTCAAGTGAAGCTACAGTAGTGTTGATTCAGTACAGTGGACATTTCTTTTGTCTCAATAAGTAGTCAAACTTTGTTAACATTTTTAAGTGGTAATTCATACTTGGTCGATATGGGGCAAACTTGAAAGATACAGATGAATGCTAATATGTTTAAAGGGAGATAAATCCAACACAAATTACATAGCATTAATGTAAAGACTAGGAAGTCATGGAGAGTCAATAAAATGTAATTGAAATTAAATTTAGTGACTAATCTTGATGTATTATTGAAAACAAATAGATGTACCTTATTCATTTACTTGGCATAACCAGTTAAGTGGACAACAATTTCATCAATTTTATAGATAGTTCAATTCTTGCCCAGACCTATGATTTAGATGCTATAGAAATGACTGGTGCTTACCTGTAGTTTGGCTGGCAGGATTAGACTTTTGGCTGGGGCCTGTGATGGCTGATGTCCAGACACCTCCCAAGCCATCCCTGCTCTGCCTCTTTTAAGTTCTCCAGCTTCTACCAGGGCAGCAATACCCGCTCTCATCGCTGCTTTCCTGTCGGGAGTCACATCCTTCGCAGCTAAAACATTTATTATCACATTTAAAATCAACATATCAAGTTTCATTAGGAATATATATACATCAGTATTCAGTTTGTCTGCAAGGTTTTGGAAATGGTGCCAAGCTAAGACTGCTTTCATTGGATGTGACAATAAAGCCATTCAGGGATAACAATAAATAAATCATGTCCAATACTCCTTCCATAAGTAGAGGTAATATACTGTAAATCATAACCCCCCCCCCCCCCCCCCCCCC